TGTGTGTGTGTGTGTGCATATGTATATAAAGAGGTGTCCCAGCTATATGCCTAGTAGGTGCAGCCCCGTCTTGTGTCTCTCACCCTCCTAAAGAGACTGTCTCCTATTAATGGAGTTGGGACCCAAAACCCCTTTGGCTGGGATACTGCGCTCTCAGTGATCCTGATGGATGCTGACAGTAATTAGCAGAGAAATTTCCCTGTAGACAATTGCAGAAATTGGATGATCCCTAAATCTAGGTGTTTAGCCCTGGACTAGAATTTTTGGAATACAGTATTTCTAGATGATGGCCAAACATCTTCATGGATTTCCAAACCTAATATATTTATTTACTAGAGAACTCAGTATCTTCCGCAACAAACTTCTTTCTTTATTCCATATATTGGATAATGGCACTAGCAGTTTTTTCAGTATTGACTTTCATTTGTCTCTTTCATTCATTGAAAAATATTTGCGGTTATACAGTGTGAGAGTTACAAATAGTAATCATTTGCAGACTTCATCCTTAAAGAACTTGGTAGGAAGAGGGAGACAAGATGTGTGTGCATATAACTGCAGTACAAAATAGAAAGCCTTGAGTGCCCCATAAAAGTATGCAGAAGATCAATGGAGAAAAGAGATAATTTGATGCTTCAGTTGTTTGAGTGGAGCTTGAGAAGAGGGATTGGCGGCAAGAGTTGAGGGACTAGGTATAAAATTAAATTTTTTTTTTGTTTCAGAAAGAACAGAAAAAAACAAACAAAAAATGCTAATATATGAGATGAAATCATTGGCAGCCCAGCTGTTTTTCACTTTGTGGACAGAACATTTGGGTTAACTTACCAGATTCTATTATTACCTTAATGTATGAGTAGAGTATTAGTTATCATAATCTTATTTTTGTCAGTGTCAATTGAAACTTTTAACATGCTTGAAAGGAAGGACCTAATTCATGAAAGACACTATAAAAAGTACATTTTGGTTAAAAAGATCTAGAAATGTCACTAAAATCTGTTAATAAGTAAAACATGAAAAAACAGTTAAAGAAGGAAAGATGATTATTGGGTCAAGCAAAAATACAGGTTTTCTATAGTATTGCTTCTGCAAAGGTCACATGTTTTTCTCAAGGCGTTTTTAAGTTTGTTTTTAGGAAACTTTTATTTAGAGGTAGAATAGTTGATTAGGCATGTGATTCTGAAGCTAGGCACCTGGGTTGAAATCCTAACTCTGATTACATTAGTTGTATGACATTGTGTGAGTTAATTAATTTCTCTGTGCCTCATTTTTTAGTCTGTAAAATGGGGATAATAATAGTACCCACCTACTAGGGCTTTGTTAGAAATAAATAATACATACATACCTACCTGTAAATTTCTTGCAGCAGAGCCTGACACGTAATAAATGTTCAGTAATTGCTGGATATTTTTTCTATTGTGGTAAAATACATATAGCAGAATTTACCATCGTAGCCTTTTTTTTTTTTTTTTAAGCTGAGCCATCCTGCCACCTGTTGGCAGCTCAGTGGCTGCTCAGCTCGGGCCAGGACTCGAACCGCTGTTGCTCAGAGCACAAACTCTTGAGCGAGCTCTTAACCAACTGAGCCACTCGGCCGGCCCCATCGTAGCCATTTTTAAGTGTACAGTTCAGTGGTATTAAATGCATGTACATTGTTGTGCAGCCATCACCACATGCATCCCCATAACTTTCTTCATCTTGTAAAACTGCAACTCTATATCCTTTAAACAACAACTTACCATTCTTCCTTCCCCCAAACCCCTGGCAACCACCATTATACTTTCTATCTTTATGATTTTGAATTCTCTAAGTACCTCATATAAGTGGAATTATATACAGTGTTGGTCTTTTTGTGACTGACTGACTTCACTTAGCCTAATGTCCTCAATGTCCATCTATGTTGTAGCATGTTGCAGAACTTCCTTCCTTTTTAAGGCTAAATAAAATTCCATTGTGTGTATATATCTCATTTTGCTTATCCATTCATCTGTTGATGGGCACTTGGGTTGCTTCCATGTTTTGACTATTGCGAATAATGCCGCTGTGAACATGGGTGAACTAATAATCTCTTTGAGACCTGCTCGGTTCTTTTTGGGTATATACCCCAAAAGTGAAATTGATAGGTCATATGACAGTTCTATTTTTAATTTTTTGAGGAACTACCATACAGTTTCCCACAGTGGCTGTACCGTTTTACATTACTACCAACAGTGCATAAGGCTTCCTGTGTCTTCACATCCTCCCAACATTTGTTTTTCTGTTTTTTTAATAGTAGCCATCCTAATGGGTAGGAGGTGGCATTTCACTATAGTTTAGATATTATTTTTAATAGTACTGATAATTATAAAAAGATTATCGTATAGATCAAATATTAATGAAAATTACTGCTATTTTTGGGGGGGGGAGATTATTGAAGGAATTACATAGTGCCTTATATTCTTTCACTATTTTATGATTGCTATGGCAAATTCATTGGTTATACGAGTATGTAAGTGAATTTTAACTTGTTTTTAGAGGAAGCAAAACATCCAAAAATTGAACCAGTGGTTGAGTGCCTTCTGAACTGGATATAAAGTTCTACAAAAATATAAGATTCAATAAAATTTTATTCTTATCTCTAAGGGGCTATTATTACATTAGGACAAATATAAAATAGGATGTAATGATATGGTGTTTGGTTCAGGCTAAGTATTTGGAAGTGCTGGGAGAGAAGAATTGCTTCATACTGAGTAATCATAAAAGGCATTATAGATGAAGTGACTTTCTGTTGGGTGTTAATATTTTAATAGATTTTTATTTATTTATTTATTTATTTTACTTCTGTTGTGAGGGCAGTTTAGGAAGAAGCCATTGAAGACAAATAAAGTTTCAGAGGCCAGATAGCTCAATTTGTGTTTTATAGGAACAGGATATGATTCAAGCTAACTGGAACATGGAAATCATTCGGGAAGTTCTGGGAAGTGTGATTGGATTAGATTGTGACAAACTTGGAGTGTCAGACCAGAAGGTTTGTTAGAAACATCAAATCCCAATTTTAGGGTCGTATGATGTGTTTGCTACTGTGCGTGTTTCTGAACCACAGATTAACTGATGTAATTGGCAAGTACGAGATTGATATCGGTATAATAGGGAAGTAGCATTAGTTCAAACAGTCTTTACCAGCATATTAACATTTTAAAGCAATCAAGAACAAACTTTCTCACAAAGCGAAAGCATTAGTAATATAAGAAAACAGTAAGGAAAACACCGAAAATCCTGCAGAAGTATTCTCCTTTAGTGAAAATGGTGGTTGCATGAGTAGCTTCAAAAATGGTATCACATTCCACAGTGTTAAGTTCTCTGGAAAAGCAGTTTAGGACAGACAAAGAAGCTGTGAAGACCTTTTCCTTTCAACTTTGTTGAAGAAGTCTATATCCTAGATAACATTTTTTTTTTTTTAAAGATTTTTATTGGGGAACTGGGGGATGGGAACAGCGCTGGGGAATTGGGGGGAGGGGAACAGACAAGTTGCTGTCGTTTTTTTGTTCTTCAATCTAGTTGTGGAGGACGTTGCTTCACTGGCCCAAGTTGGCACCATCATTGCGCTCTTCTCGGGAGAGGCAGATGAGTCGCTGGCTTCTGGACGGCCGCTCATGGCAGCTGCTGGCCGCTCACGCTGGCTGCTGGCTACACACGGTAGCCCATGGCAACCCACTGCCGCAGGGGCTGCAGCCTATGCCGTTGCTGGTGACTCACGGCAGCCCAGCTCCAGGTCGAGCTGTTGTTCAGCATCTTAGCTGTAGAGGCCGAACCGGGGCCCTCTGGCATATCAAGCCAGCTCTTAACCAATGCGCCACTCGGCCTTCCCCTAGATAACATTTTTAAGTTTATTGAAATTGGCCAACTAAAGCAAAAGCCTTCAGAATTCTATATCACAAATGAGAAGGAGGAGCTCCAGTGTTTAAGGTTCCAAGACCATTATGCTAGATGCAAATTCAAGTGGAGATTGAACTATGCGAGTCATTTTATAAGGTCTTCTTATTATTTTAGTTAGGGCTTTGATTATAAAGCTATACTGATTTTGAGTAATCCACCTTAACTCTGTTTTACCCATAAGTTCTGTTATTTTTAGTTGCGATTTTCTAGAACTCAAACTTGGGTTTTTCATTTTTTTCTTCCCCAAGTGTACATATCACATTCTAGCAGAAAGGGCTCTGCCACACTTTAAAAGGAGAAAATTCATAATCTTCTTGTGTTCCATGGTCATTGAAATCCATTAAAACTCTTGAAATGTATGCACTGTGTTCTGATTCACTTAATTTTGAATTGATAGCGTTCCAAGTCTAATTTTAATGGAAATTTACATTTGAAATTTGTGCCAAATTAAGTATTTTTATGTAGTAACCAAAATACCTCTAAAAAGACTCCTATTTGGCTATGCTTGGGTGGTGAATTTATCTCCTAAATGTTGCACACAAATTTAGATCTGACGTCAACTTAACTTTTGAAGGACTATAGATTGTTTATATAAGTTTATTAACATATTTTAAAATGCCCACTAACTCCTAAAACTCATTTTTTTACATAAAGAACCAGCTGCTTTCTTGGAATTTGAAGCCCAAGTTAAATATATAGACTTCCTGGCTTATTAGAGGAGTCCTAAATGGGCTTGATCTCTTCGTTTTCTTAAAACAGAGGACGGTCCCTTAATTTCATTCAGCTGTTAACTTGGCATTCATTTCAGGAAGATCTTGAATGGAAACATCTTTAGCTTTCCATTCTTACTGACCAACACAAAGAACAGCCTATTTCTACTTTTGAGCAAGTAAAAACCAATGAACTTTAAAATAAGGCTTAGTTGGCATTACTTGTTACAGATAGAAGTCCATAATTTAAAACTTCGTTATGAAGTAAATTATTTTACCATGTCTTTGTACATATTTTTGTAAAAATGTGTTTATGCTGTGCTGTTATTTAAATTTGGGGGATCTTATACTTTTAAAATAAAAGCACTCTTTTGATTACAGAAAGACCCAAAGGGGACCAGTAGTTTGCCAATTGGAAGTTCTCTTCTACAAGAAATTGAAGTACAGAATGAAGAAGTGGCAGCTTTTTGTCAATCCATTACAAAGTAAGGCATTTTTCTTTATAAAGAATACTTTTTATTAAATGCTTGTTTAAAAAACTTATTTTGAAAATTATCTTGGTGCTAATAATTCTAAAATGTTTAATTATTTTCTCCCTGTGGCTTAAAATTTCAAGACAAACAGTTAATTAGCACATTAACACGAACTACAGTTGAATCTGCCTTTTTACTTGTTACATTTCTGAGTATTTAGAAGGAAAAACTGAACACAGCCAGGTTTCGTGTTTTCTTTCCATTCTACCACCACATTAGTGAAACTTTCATTATGAGTGCTAGAAACCCATCTTAAACTGTCTTAAATCAAGAAAGGGTACGTATTGGTTCACAAACGCAGATAGAAAGAGGAAGGATGGGACAGTGCTCAGTGACAGCCATTTCCAGGAATTCATACACTGTGCTCCATCCCTCCCCCCTGTGGCCTCTTCCTTTCCCACTTCCTGTCCTTTCCTTCTTCCTTCCTTTTCTCCCCCTATCCTCCCTCCATGCGTGTGGGCTTCATTTTCTTCTACTGCAGATGGGGTTTTGAAGCAGGGTATATAGCTACTGATAGCTTAGACATCCCATTCTAATGTTCTTGCAAGCAGAGGCAGACAAAAGGGAGTCCTCAGCCAGCTCCAGATAGAAAAAACCCACCGAAGGATCAAGTGTAACACAAACATTGTGGCCAAGGGGATGAGATATGTTATCAGAAAAAGAGAAAGTAGATCACCACTGGGGAATTTATTTTCAGTCCTGTATTTTTCCCAATATGGTCTGCTTTAAGTAAAGCAGAGTTTGGGGTTCCCATATCATTTAACTAGATTTTCTAGACTATTGGTAATATTTCATTAAAACTGTCTTTCTTTATGTTACCTTTTAACCAGCATTTTTTTTCTGCAGACTATCTTAAGGGAAAAAAAGGAAGAAAATTATCTGTAGAGCCACTTTTTCTTCCCTGCAAAGGTTACTCTTAACTGAATTTTAAAGCTCATGTTTTTCAGTAAGCATTTAAAATAGAAGAGACATTTAGATGACTTAGCATGCAAATTACCTGTATTAAAAATTACCTATGCCTTTATGCCATTATACCATTATGTGTGTGTGGTTAACAATTTGGAAATAATCTTTTACCTTAATGGTTTAGAAATAATCTGTTATGTGTTCATCTAGTTTCTTTAATTTTCTCCCCAAACAAGCCCTGTACGCTTTCTATTAGACTGTTGAGTGACTGTTGCATTTGCGAAATTAAGCTCTCTGTGATCTGCCTTTCCCCCCATTTGAATCTTTGAGTTATTTACAAAAACTCTGCCAATAAGCTAAAATGGTTATTTTTATTTACACACACAAGCGCACACACACACACACACAAAATGGCTTATGTAATATGAAATCCCAGATGAACTAAAGAGAGAATGAGTTTTTTTTGTAATTTTATTTTTATTAGGAGAGTATGACTGCAAAAAATATTTCAGAGTGGTAGAAAGTAGAGGTATTTTTGAAGCTGTGTTCTAGGAACTTCTCTTGTTCCCCTTGGACGTTGGAGATTGGGGTCAGGAGGTGTCCTTGAAGAAATTAATGGCTCTTTCAATTTTTTCCAATATGTTCATATCTGCAATGAATTTTAAAAACAAGTATTTATACTCTTAGCCAATTCTTTACTTTTTGAAATCTCCTAAAATGATTCATTTAATCATTTAAATTCAACTATGAAATTAGTATAAGACTATCAGGATGATAACTGTTTACAGTTAAGATTACTGTATAACATGGAATTTAGTGCCAGTTCTAGGCCTTGTGGGGTTTTTTTTTGCTTCTGTGAAATTAGGGAGTTGGACTATTGACCTCAAAGGTCTCTTTCAGTTTAAAGCTCTTTCATACTTTGATTCAGGACATGGTATTATTACTGCATTTTTCTGGTTTTTATTTCTTGTTTTTCTGTTTACATTCATCGTAATTGATAAAGCTTGCTATATTTACTAGTTGTCGGTTCAGACAGAGAAAGTTCTTAAGAGGAATGTGAGATATCAGTAAAAGTTTTTGCTGCTGCCATCCTGAATAGCCTTCTATTTCTTTTCTTCATATATGGTTCATATCTAATATTTATATCCTACAGTAGTGTTTTGACCCCAGGACCTTCCTATATGTTTACAAGGACTTCACCTCAAATTTTATTTTAAACAATGCCAATGCTATACTTTCCTGTAAAGTAGTGCTAATTCAATTAAAACCCTCATTTTTATCTTTTAACTTTTAAAATCCTCAATTTTATCTCTCTGATTTTTGATGATTTGGCTTTGTATGTAACTTTAGCTTGATTGCACAGTAGGAAAATAAACTGTAAAAGACTAGTGTATGCCTAGAGATATTAAATTTCCTGAAGTACAGAGCAGCCACATTAAGCAAACAAAGCTACTTCTTTGGTGGCAATAGGGAAATGTAAATGTAAGAGAAAATGAAAAAGTAAAAAAATACTCTATATAGGTAATTACTTAAGAACATCAAACTGTGTTGGCTTAGAGTGTCCATAAAAATACTTTATCTGGTCTGTTATATTGAAAGTGAATAATTTACTCAGCAATTATCAATTTACTCATTTAATTTGATTTTGTATGTTTAAATTTAGTTACAAACAAAAAAAATCTCCCAACTTTAAGAAATCGATTACCATCTTAGTTTTTCCCCAGTTTTTATAAAGCAAACAAAACCAGAGAATAGAAGAAAGCATCAATTTTATAGAAAAAACAGAAAATTACTATATTTTTCTAGATTTAACTATCTTTCATGGTATCAAGCAGAAAGAGAAAGAACTAATTAAAAAAACTTTTAAAAATTGTGATGAAGTATATATAACATAAAATTTACTATTGTAACCATTTTTACATGTATAGTTCTGTGACATTAAGTACATTCACGTTGTGTAAAAGAAAGGACTAATTTTAAGAAGAGGAAATGAAGGATATCCCCCCCCCCTCCGGCCTCCCAAAGTCAAGTTCATTGAATGCTACTTTTATCACTGGAATTTTTGTCTAAAATTCTTGTTTTCTGAGCTATCAGGAATTTGACTTTCATCATCTTTGACGATTTCTGAAAATTGAAGGCTTATTTGGATGTACGCAAAATTCTCTACCATCTTATATATTAGTTAATTATGTGATTTGCTGTGAGCATCTATTTTCTACCATAGAAAACGAGAATACCAAATATGTGAAAAACAATAAAAATTTTAGGTTGGGTTCTATGAAGATCTCGTCATTGTTTTGCAGAGGGGTAAGCTTTGAAGCAATCAGATATCTGAAGATAATGTGTCCATATCTAAAGGTGCATTTCCAATATCAATTTTAGTTTATTACTTATTACCGTTTTCCATTTCTTTTTGATATTACATTCTTTGTGGCACTGAAGTTTACAGTGCAGAAACCAGATTTATTCATTCACTCATTCCTTCATTTGACAAGATGCTTCTAGCACTTAACCACATACTAGGCCCTGTTCTGAGTGCTTTTATTACTTAATTCATGTAATTCTCATAACAACCCTATGAGGTTAGTAGTGGTATTATCAGCAGTTTATAGAAGAGGAAACTAAAGCAACAAGGAGATTCAATAGCTTGCCTAAGGTGATTGGTAAGCAGCAAAATGAGGATTTAAACTCAGGTTTAAATCCTGGCTCTAAAGGCTGTGCACAAACTGTTCAGCTTGCTGCCCCTCCAGAACCTTTCTTTCTTTCAACTCAAACTGTTTTATTCTATTCCTATGACTTGATTATTTTAATCTCTACAGAAGCAAAGCGACAGTACTTCCAGCCTTCTTTCCATTTATAGCTCTGTGGAAAGCAGATGGGAAGATTGGGGCTTGTCTTCTAACCTCCAGAAAAAAGTTAAAGGAAGCACCAGTTTAAAGAAGGCATCCATCCAATCTCCCTTTGTCTTCCCATAGCAGAATCACTAAATGGAGATGAGCCACACACCATGCTCATGCATTTAAATTTAAACTACATTGCTCCTCTGAATACCTATGAATACCTTCCCAGGCAGTTCTTACCATCCCCTCAGTTTTAGAAATCACTTTGAGGGAATAAAGGCCCCATAGCACTGTAAAAACCTGTTGTATATGTTTTATTGTTGTTGTTCTTTTTGAGCATTGTCTAACAACCAGAACAATATGTAGGGGAAAACAGACCTTAGAAAAAAGATTTTTAAAAGACAACAAGCTTATTCCTTTGGCAATTATAATTTAGGGCTACATTGCTTATATTATCAGTGATTCAGTAAAAGTGTATCATTTTGTGTAATTATACTGTGTAGCAAAAGAACCTGAAGCCGAGAACCTCCTTTAATGCCATGTGTCCACTGTGTGCTTGATTACTGTTGATAATGCGACCATAGATACCCTGGCAGCACTTAATCTCTTGCCTTGGATTCTTTTTATTTAAAAGGCAAATGCTGGTATTTGGAGTTTTGACAGGGGTCTATTCATTGCAGTTCTCATGAGCTGCTCTAGAATTGGACAAAGGCACAGAATTGAATGGCTACTGTAAGCCTGCAAAAAAAGCCTTGTTCAGGGCTCTCAAATAAATGCAGCTTAAAAAAAAAAATTTAAATTCTTCTCTCTTGTGAACAGATTGAAGACCAACTTTCCATATACCAATCACCGCACAAATCCAGGCTATTTGTTAAGTCCAGTCACAGTACAAAGAAACGTATGTGGAGAAAATGCTAGTGTGAAGGTCTCCATTGAAATTGAAGGATTTCAACTACCAGTTACTTTTACATGTGATGGTAGGTTTATAGTTCCCCATCCATCTTGTTTTGCTCTGATTAGGGAGAAAATGTTTGAAATGTTAATATCATTCTCTTAATAAACCGTCTCTTGTTATTATCCTTTTAAAAAAATGTATGTGTGTATGTGGTGAAATAGTTAACATTCATTAGTTATCCTTTTCAAAAAGTTGGCATTTCATAAGATAGTTTTCTGGTTAGGACTTGTGGGAAAACAGTTTACCTTTATAACTGCTATATGTATTTCTCTGAAAAATGCTGAGTACTTTTGTTAATCAGTGGCTCTTGGCCAAAACCCCAAAGCATTAGATAAAAAGGCTAATGATTGCTAATTAGATAGAAAGTTCAAATTGTTTATTTTCTTTTTTCATTTTATGGCAAGAAGAATGCTTGTTTATAAAGAGCTGTTAATAAACTGACATTCCAGTTATCTTGCTAAGTAAGCTCTAAGGAGAAGATAATTCTTCTTTGCTTCTAAGTCTTCCTTCCAAACTTCATGGAGTATCCTTACTAGAGATGTATCCCTAAGTCTGTAGGAAGTTTTTTGTTACAATTTTAAAAACTACTTTTATTTTCTTTAATAGTTTACTGCTTTTCACAATGTACATTATATTAATGGGATTCCGACAAGGAATAAGATCCTATATTTCTACAATACTTTGGCTTAAAATTATGTCATTTTGTTTCTTTAATGGTTATGACTAGGAATATGTCCAATATTTGGATACTTTCTTTGTAGCTTTGTATTTTTCAAAGCCGTTTTAGAAAAATATAAGTCTGAAACAAAGTGTTAGCCAATTGTAAGAATTATTCTTTTAGTTTCTAAAGGAAGAGTTATTCTTTTTAAAATATACCTTACACTTGGTTTAAGGAATTGTTTAAATCTAAGTACAATAGGAATTAATACTAAAATGGAAGGGGGAAAAAAGTCAATCAACCTTATAAGCATGAATACCAGTGCTTACCCACTGATAGCAAATGTTTTAATTTGTATCAAATTTTGACTTGCTACATCAAAATCTGATTGTTTAAAAAAATACTTCAAATGCTTATTTGGTTCTTCATAAATGTGCACATTGATAATGTACACCTCTGTTAAGAAATGTAACCATATTATGATACAAGTGGTTTGTATGTTCAAATGATAAATGTTACCATCCATTTGACTCTTTAGAAATGTAGCCTTTGTATTATTAGATAGAGGTTTTATGGCCATTTCTACCAAGTTGTTAATTTTCATGAAGTTTGAATGTAGTTAGTGTCTTCTAAATTGAACATAGGAGCTTGAAGTATAGAAACAGGTCACTTGAAAGGTTACCTTAGTTTAAAAAAAAAATGATAATTGAGCAATATTTCCTACTTGTTAGATTTTTATTCTTTATTGGAAAATTTATCAGGTGAATGTCAAACATTTAAAATGGTAATTCTTTTTCCTTATAATTGGTTTAAATTATTGTTTTCTAGATACGCTAAATGTCATCCTTTTTGGAGGCGTCTCTAATTGGGAGATGGCTTTCTTAACTTAGATCTGTCCTGTCTAATACAATAACCTCTAGCCATGCGTGGCTACTAAGCATTTGATATTTGGCTAATACAATAACCTCTAGCCACGCGTGACTACTAAGCACTTGATATTTGATACTTAATATAGATTAAGATGTGCTGTAAGCAGGGCTGGCTGAGTGGCTCAGTTGGTTAAGAGGTCGCTCAAGAGTGCGAGCTCTGAGCAACAGCAGTTTGATTCCCAGCCCGAGCTGAGCTGCCGCTGAGTTGCCAACAAGTGGCACGATGGGTCAGCTTAGCTAAAAAAAAAATTACATTAAAAAAAAAAAAAAGATGTGCCATACATATAAAATACACACTGGATTTCAAAGACTTAGTTTGAAAAGAGAATGTAAGATATTTCATCAGTATTTTTTTAAATACTGATTATATGTTGAAATGGTACTTTAGATATATTAGGTTAAATAAAACATTAAAATTAGCTTCACCTTTTTACTTTTTTCATTGTGGCTACTTGAAAATTTTAAATTATACCTGTGACCTGCATTATATTTCTATTGTATACTGCTGTCTTAGATTACAAGAAATACAATCTGAATAAATGTACGCTTAGAGTTAAATGAACAAAATGAAAATGATGGCTAACTCTTTTACAGTGAGTTCTACTGTGGATATCATTATAATGCAAGCCCTTTGCTGGGTGCATGATGACTTGAATCAAGTAGATGTTGGCAGCTATGTTCTGAAAGTTTGTGGTCAAGAGGAAGTGCTGCAGAAGTAAGTTTATTCATTTAACAGTAGTAGCAACATCTTTGGGAATTTTATTTTTAATAGCTGAAATTAGAAAATTTTCAAGTTATATTTGTAATTTAAAAATACTGGATCCTACTGAATTGATTCATTGTATCAATACACTTGTATTGAGATATACTTTATCTGGGAAATCATGTCTAAGACAGTGGAGGGATTTCAGAGATAATTAAGACATAGTATTTCCCTTAAGAAACTTATAGTCTCATATGGGAAGACTGGTGGGCAACTGTTAAGTGACAGGTGAATTTAGTAGTTTTTTTCTTTCTGCAAAGGGTCAATAGTCACATCATTATAGGCCCCATTTTCCTTTTGTAGCATGTACTATTACTTTATACCCAGTGGTCAGCTGTGATTTCCTTTTTAGTTAGCAGAAATAATCATTATGACTCTTTTTGAACCATGTAATTATTGCATCTAGCTTTTAGTTTACTTATTTTATAGATTTTAGTCTCTTAGTCGCTAAAAATGTCCTGTCCCTATTTTTATTTTCTTTTTCATCTTGTTTCTTCTTTGCTTTGACTCTTCTCATGTACAATTATTCCTGTACTTAGATGCTCACACTTGGTTAAAAAACTGTCTCTGTATTTTACCATCCTCTTCAATTTCTGATGCTATTACAATTTATGTCTTACTCTTACTGCTATAATTTTTAGTTTGAGGAAAATAAAACTGATGAATAATTAATATATTTTAACAGTAATCATTGCCTTGGAAGTCATGAATATATTCAAAACTGTCGGAAATGGGACACAGAGATTAAACTACAACTTTTGACCTTCAGCGCAATGTGCCAAAATCTGTCCCGAACTGTAAGTGTTTTTACCGGATAACTGAATTGCATTTGGTTAAATCTGAATCATTTTGCTAATTAGCTAATTTGCAGTTTGTACATTCGCCAAGATTTCTGGGTTGGACTGGAAGTGATGAACTCTTTATCTCAACGGGAGTCTTTTCAGCAGATTGATGGGGGGAGGTTTTCAATCATGAAGGTTTAGGTAGCCTACTATTCCGAGCTGGAGGCCTATTTGAAAATCTTAAGTGGAAGAATTAGAAATTCGATTTGTAATAGTTTTACACAAGAGTGAAAACATCAGGGTCAGTCAATGACAAATGAGGATAAAGGAAAGAATTTGAATACAAAATATGGATGGGGGGGGTCCACGTCGACCTTTGCACCACATTGAGAAAAATATATTATTCTTCACCAATTGAAAACTAATTCTGTATTTTAAAAGTACAATACTTTCTTTTGAGATTAAAGCAAAATAGCATGCAGGAAATGAGGCCATTTTATTACTGTATAAATGCTTGATGAATTTTAATCTCTAAAGAGAATTATTTTTCATTTGGTAGAATTTTGGGTGGGAAAATATCAGTCATTTCTACTTTCTTTTTATTTTTTTAGGTGTTGTTCCTGTGTTAGGTAGAATTTATTTCAATTGGGTGAAAACTATTTCACAAAATTCACTACATTTTAGCAATCATTAGTAACTTTTCAATTTCTTAAGGATTGATGGCCTTGGGTATATTTGCATAATAAGTAAGGACTTCTGATAGAAGAGACCAGCACTTTGTTTATTGGGGGATAAGGTGGAGGGACCTTGATTATCATTAGAAAAAAATGCAGCAATTCAAATGATCTCTTTCTCATCTGGTTCCCACCCCACCTTCATTTGGCTGTCAGCCATCTTTAAAAGTATTTTTAGCTTTGTATTTATTCTCTCTATATAGAACAGAAGTAGTTTTTGCTTTGGGAGCTATTTATATATCACAAACTAGACTTAAAAGCATTTATGGTTTTCCATTTAAAAACCAAATTCAGAATATCGATTCACTTCTGAGTCCATTACAAATAATATTTAATTCTGATAATATGTTAGCCTCAGTTCTGAAAAATCATTTCAGTTTTAAGAATTTATCATACCCTTAACCATATTTAATTGGGCAAAAGAAAGACCAAAGAACAGATTTGATTTTTTGGTAAATATTTGTGTGTGTTTGTTTAGGCAGAAGATGATGAAACTCCTGTGGATTTAAACAAACACCTGCATCAAGTAGAAAAACCTTATAAAGAAGTCACGGCAAGGTGTGGCGTCTAAAGTATTCATTGCAGGTTTTCAAACTTTGGTTTGGGATGTGAATGCATTTATTTTGGTGAATAAAACAATAATTTTTGTATACAGTATCTTTCAGCCACAATCACTGTTCTTTATTTCAGACACCCTGTCGAAGAACTTTTAGATTCTTATCACAACCAAGTGGAGCTGGCTCTTCGAATTGAAGTAAGTCTTAATTCACATTTTGGCATGATGACTTAAAGGTTGTTGTCTCTGTTCTGTTTTAAATATTAGTGTTGGCATCAGATTAAGTATTTCAGGAGGATTATTTAAATCCAAGATTTTTATTTGGAAATTGGGGAAGGGGAACAGCCAATTTGTTGTCCTTCAATCTTAGTTTTGGAGGGTGCAGCTCACTGTCCCATGTGGGAATCGAACCAGCGACCCTGTTGCTCAGAGCTCATGCTCTTAACCAGCTGAGTCACTTGGCCAGCCGATAAACTATATTCTTGATGTCAATGTTTGATGACTTGTTTCTGAGCCAACTTATTAACAAAAATTCTCAATGCTGAATCAACATGTCTACTCTCTTCAACTTTCTTACTAAGAAGAACCTTCAGTTCAGTTCAAAAGCATTTCTTTCTGATTTTTGTTTTTGTTTTTGTTTTTTTTAAGATTTTATTGGGGAACTGAGGGAGGGGAACAGTGTTGGGGAATTGGTGAAGGGGACCAGCCAAGTTGTTATTCTTCAGTCTTCGTTGTGGAGGGCGCCAGTCGCCATCTGGCTGCCCATTCGGCAGCTTGTGGCCTCTAAGCTCAAGGTGCTGTGTTCAATATTAGTTGTGGGTGAGCGTAGCCACCATCCCATGCGGGAGTTGAACCAGCAGCTTTGTTGTTAAGAGTGTACGCTCTATCCATTGAGCCATCCGGGCGGCAGCTCAGCTCAAGGTGCCGAGTTCAGTCTTAGTTGTGGGTGGGCATAGCCCACCATCAAACAGGCAATCTTATTGTTACACCAGGATGAGCCATCCTGCCACCTGTTGGCAGCTCAGCGACAGCTCAGCTCGGGCATAGCGTCACAGGCCCATGTGAGAATCAAACCGGCGGCCCTGTTGCTCAGAGCTCACGCTCTTAAGCCAACTCTTAACCAACTGAGCCACCCGGCCGGTCCTAAAAAGCTTTTCTTGAATGCTTACTATATGCTAGGTGTTGGAGTTACGAAAATGAATGACCTAGTCCCCTACTACCAGAAACTCAAAATTAGTGATGAGAGATTTAAACAAAATTTCAGTATGGGATAGTAAATGTACCATAGAGTTATGCACTGGGGTTTTGGGAGGAGATCAAAGAAGGGCAGGCACTTCTCCCAACTTGAATGTTCAAGGAAGGCCTCTAAGAGGATATGTTGCCTGAGCCACATCTTAAACAGGATGAGTTAGCTAGAAGAAGATAGTTGTGAGGGCATGTGAACAGAAGCACACAGGTGAGATTATATATATATATAT